AGATTGATGGCCCACTCCAGAAAACTCTTCTGCTTTATCCCGTGTCACCTCCAGCACACCACGAATACTCTGGGTGGAGAAGAGCAGCAATTAAGGGTAAAAAGAGAAGCTAAATGGAGTTACTGAAAGCTCTGTAGAAATTCAGTTTCTATCCATGTGAAGGGAACTATACTATTTCATTTTAAAAACTTTCAGATTGTATGATAAAAAGATCGAAAATACAGCTAAGATAAACTCAACTTATACTAGACAAGTTTTTATTTAAATAAAATGTGGCATAAAGTAGGGGTTAAAGATCCCTTTTAAGATAGAATTTTGATAAACAGAAAAGGGAACAGAAGCAAAAGCTTTAAATGAATCAAGTTCATGCAGAAATACATTAAGAAAAAAAGATCTGGTTTGCAACCATCTTCCGATTAAAAAGGAATAAACAAAAGTCAAGACCAGACTTAATCACAGCACCACCCTGTTTCACTTTTCCTTCTTCCCACATAAGAGAGAAATCACACTCTTAAAAGATGGTTTCAGCTTTTATTGAATGAGGACTTCATTTTCTAACATGACAAACTAACTCTCCCTTTCTGCAAAGGTAGATCTTACACTCAAAGACAATCTTCATGCATTTTATTTTAGAAATTGGGGGAGAAATCCATAGTTCATTAACAAGATTCACAACTTCTTTTTACAGTAATGATGGCAGGAAACCAATACATTTCACAACCTAGAGCGGTTCAAACTAAGTATGTAGAGCAGATTTTGAAATCTTGGGAAAATGACATAAACTGGACAATTATGAAAACTGCTCATAATGTGGACTCTGGCTCTTACAGTTTAGGACAAATGTTGGCTCTACACTGTATCCGAGAAGGGGTCTTCACTATGGGACATTTTCACACCAGGACATGGCAGGTTCCCCTCCTGCCAGGCTTTTGAACAGATCATTAAGGCAGGTCTACAAAGGACCAGTCAGGCACAGGGGTACCAGCAGCTGACCAGAGGAAATCTATGTAACTTCCTGTAGTCTGACAGCCTTTAATGCAGACATCAGTGTGGCAAACTCTGTGCTGTGTTGTGTTTATTTTCAGCATCAACCTGCACCTAAAGCACAAGAGGTCACTTCAAGTCACTTCAATGGAATAAACAATCCCCAGTCATTGCATTTTCAGTGAATGGAGCAAAGAATCTGAAGTGCTAAAAAGAATTAGAGGGAAAAATAAAGGAAAAGCCCTTTGGTTTAGACTTATTAGATGAACAGAAGGTCTTTAACTCTTTAGGGAATACCACTGTGGCATACAAAATTATACTAATTAATTAACACTCCTTCACATTTCCTTAATTTTCAGATCATATAATTTCAGCAGCACACTTTCCCCATTTTTCTATAATAGCTATGAATACTTCAGTAATATAATAACGGTTTAATGATGACCATTTCTCTTTGGTCATGTAGTATTTAGGCTTAGGGAGAGATTCTGTCAAATTTAAAAACAAAAAAATATAAGCTATACCAATAGCTCACAAAAGCATGGCATTAATAGCTTATTTAGTAAAAAAAAGTCAATGAAGTTCTTTTATTCACATTCGCCCAGTTATCTTCTAAGACAAGCATCTGCTCTGAAATGCAGGAGGGCACATATGTGGCAATCAATCAAACCTTGGTTCATTTTCTGGTCATCTGAAATTAAGGGCTCCTTTAGAGATCTAAACATTTTTGCAATTCGAGGGCACCTAGACCAGCGGATGAAGCACAAACACAAACCTAATTCTTTGGAATATCAGTGTGGGCACAGTGCTTACCACAACCCACATTTGTAAATGCAAATGCTATATTACTTTCCATTCTATAATGTCACCTGATCACCAGTAGAAACTCACTCCTGTTGTTTATCCGGAAAGGGAGGCACCTGCTCATAATAAGATTAAAAGGCCACCATAAAAATGAAAATACATACGGCTATCCTATGGTATTTCAAGTTAGGGAAATGAGAGCCCACTTTTGCTATGGAGTTGAAAGCGGAGTTAATTATTACTAATATTAATACAGGTATCCCCCGCATCTCGAAAGTGTGTGTTAGGCCACTTTGCTTCTATGAAAGACCCCACGTTAGTACCTGTTTTTGCTACCCGAAAGAAGTCCAAAGAGGATTTTTGCTTTTATGAAAAACTGCACTGTGTGTGTGTGTGTATGTGTGTGTGTGTGTGTGTGTGTGTGTTTGCAGCGAGCCAGTTTAGAGGTAGCACACACATCCCAGGCAGCTAGTGGCCCCACCAAGCTCCTTCCTGGGAAACACACACAGAATGTCAGCCTCCAGCCGCCAGAGCTCTGAACCATGTCAGTGAGCATCCGGGCTTTATCTCAATTTATTTTGCGCATCCGTCAGCAAGATGTGTCATAAGGTATCAGAAAAGCCTAAGAGAGGTGATTTTTTTGAGTCTGGGAACCCTCAAAAATTTTTTCCATATAAATTAATAATAATGGCTTCTTCACTTTACACCATTTCAGCTTATGAAAGGTTTCACAGAAACACTCTCTTTCGGAAAGCAGGGGAAACCTGTCATAGAAAACGAATTTTTTTTGCAAGAAAGGAACAATTAATATATCTATGAATCATAAAGAAGAACAACTGAGGCTTACACAAGACGCACTGAAGTGACTGATCTGAAGTAGTCTAATGAGTTCATTCACCCACATGGTACAGGAGATTGTCTCAATTTAAGTCCACCCGTTACAAACATCATTCACCCTAATCTGCCTAATCTGTCTAATCTGCCATAATACCTCAGCTGAAGGCGAGAACCGTTCTAGCTATGAAAGCAAAAATATCCCCAAAGTTAATCAGAAGCAACTTTCTGCGCATTAAGAAAGCATTTTCTTAGAAGCAAAAAAAAAAAAAAAAAAAATTAAAAAAATACTATGATTAAAAATAATGTGTTCTAATAAGGCATAGAGCCCACACGCAAAGGAAAAGAAAACCACATAGTCACAATCTTTAACAGCTTCCTTGAATGCTACTTGCTATGATGGCTGCAATTCTACACCGTCTGGAAGACAAGTGCTGGGCAGGTGACTCCATGACTTAGAGGAGTTGTCATCACGAAGTCAGGCAGTATCCCAGACATCTCTGGCTCTTCGCACCGCCTCTTAAAAAAGTTGCTGAATAGTTCAAGAGATGAGGAAGGATGTAGAAAACTATTCTCTTCTTCCCATTAATATCCATCTTTTTTAGTGGATTCTCCAGTGAGGCAAACTGAGACCACGACACGGTAAAATGAGGTATTGATACAATTAATGTTCATCAGGACTTCTCTCCTTGCTTGAGCATCTGTGAGCATTACTACTGCACGCAAAGAATAGTTTATTATACATCATCTCCTTTATTCTCAATCCAACCAAAGTTAACTTATTTCATGATCTCATCATCCACTAAGAATAAACAGCACAGAGCCATACACTGTGGCCTTCTCCCCACGTCCCACCTCTTCCCTCTCCACCAAATAAGCTCCCTGTGAACTTACACACACTGCTCAAAGAGCCATACAAGTGTTTTGTTGGCGTTTCTGTTGGCATGATTTTGGTGAATGGTTCAGAGTGTGAATGTGTGTGTGTGTGTGTGCGCGCGCGCGCCTGTGTGTGTGTCTGTGTGAGAAATGGTATGTTAAACTTCAAAAAGCAAACTACAAACAAATCCAGAAACGGTGCCAATTTAAAGATTTCAGTATTATGACAAATTTCATACACATACTGATACATTCAAAAGAAAAACACAAACAAACCTACTGAATCAGTTCTATGTAAAATATGGTAGAAGAAGAAGATGGGGAAGTTCTGTGGAAGTGCAAAGCTGTGTACTATAAACTATGTCCAAAGACATTTAGTTCTGGCTTATGAAAATTCCAATTATATTTAAAGACGGGAACAGACATGGATGAGAAATCCAGAGCTGTGTCCACATAGTTGAATGTTATTAAACTAATGTCTAACATTTATGGGGAAATAACAGACACTTAAATTCTGTGTATCAAATTCCCCCTTTGAATGTCTGCATAAACCAAGAGGCAGGGCTTTCTGGGTGTCAGATCAGTTTACAGGCATTATAAAAACATAACAAACTTACACCAAAACAAGACCAGTCTGTGTAAGTGTATTATCTAGGCACCAAGAAAGGAGGCAAGTCTCAGAAAAATAAGGGAGGTCTCAGTGTTTTGTCCAAAATTCCAGAAACTGCCCATTTGTGGCATACAAACAAAAGGGAGGTGTTGAACTACCAGTGTTTTATGTTTTAACAATATTAAAATCAGTTAAGATTTGTAGGAACGCAACATTAAAACCATAATGGAAAGAGTAGAAACTCAAGGCCAAGGCTAGAACCAACTCAAATCATGAGCTAACATTGCCTGTTTCCTCCACCAAGATTTCAAGTTTGTCCAGTAATTTATACTGTGGTTTCTCGACCAGCTTTGAGATTGGGTGCCGAAAACTGGCGCCTCATCCTTGGAGGTGTCACAAACTGGCTACAGTGGTTGGGCTTGTCCGTCTGCTTCTGAAAGGAACTGGCTGCATTGCCCTCTAACTGACCTCCAGTGTTGTAATTACAGTAAGACTGACGGTGTTGGTGAATATGGCGCTTCGCCTGGAAAGTCTGCAGATCGGCAGTGGGGTGACCACTGTGGGAATTTAATGATTCTGAGGAGGCAGATGCCTGGCAGCGCATACTTTTCGGTTGGCCATTATTAAGAGAATTGCTTCTCCAGCGTAACTGAGGTGGCTGTTGTTGGGTGTTAACATGCTGCTTGCTAACTTGGATGTGATCTTGACTTCGTGTGCCCTGAGAGCCCCATGGTAACTGGGGATCCTTAGAAGGTGCTCTACCCCCCTTTTCTTGGCTCTCCTCTTTATTTCCTTTCCTTCCGTCTTCATCTTTTGGGATTCTAAGCTCTATGACCTCATCTTCTGTTATGATGATATGAGTCCCAGGGCTCCAGGAGTTTCTGTGTTTAGGGTTGCTCTTAAAGGGGAACCGGGGCTTGCGGTTCTCAGGAGGGATGAACCTATGAGGTACGTTCTGCCTACGCAGCTGCTTTGCTATCTCCTGCTGTTGCAGATTCTTAAAGCGGATTTGCTCTTGCCTCATCCAGCGCAGACGTCCGCGTCTAAAAGCGGGATCCCCGTTCATCAGCTGGGAAACGCGCTCCTCTTTCCCAAGTTCTCCACTGTCCCCTCTGCTTCCGTCATTTTCAGACTTGCTACTGACACCAGCACCAACAGGCTCCTTTGCTCTGTGGTTTCCTTGGCTTTTCTGTTCCTGAGATCCAATCAGGGGCAAGACTTTCTCCATTTTGAGCATTTTGTTTCTTAGGACTTTTATTTCCTCATCTTTCATGTTATTTTGCTTTTTTACTTCTTGCAAAATATCTTCCAGTTTGTCAATGTGAACCTTGAGGTCGTCTACATCAGTCCCGCCTTTACCACTGGCCATCACGTCTTCGATCTTCTCATCCCCTACACCGACAGTGTCCCACACATCCCTGGCCACTGCCCTCCAGGAGTCCCGCTCATTGGGATCTTTCTTCCCATACATGGCACAAAGCTCTTTCATCTTAACAATGGCCAAGGCTTCAATCTCCTGCCGACTGTGCCTAAAATCGTTGAGCGCAACCTCATAGCATATCTCTTTTACAGCCTGAATCTTAAGATCTGAGATGGTGACCCACTTGGAATCTTTACACAGGCGCCTTCTTTGGGGGATTTGATACATTTTAATTGGCTCTCGTTTCTTCCCACTGCTAGGGAGGCCACACTTTTTAACAATGGTTTGCAACTTGCTGGGAGGTAGCTTTTCTCTCAGAGAAGTAATCAGTTTCCAGCTCTCTTCACAGGACCTCTTGTCAGAATCGTCCCCGCTATCAGAATCCGCGTCCTTTGGAAAAACAAAATCAAAAAATGGCCCCAAAATAACCAAAATTAAAATGTAAAAAAGGAAAATCAAATCGAAGAAAAAAACAAGTAAAAAAGCCTTAACCAAATTTAAAACCAAAACCAAAAAATAAGTAAATAAAACTTAAAAAAAAAAAAAGATAAAACAAAAAACCCCCTAAGTGGTGTGTAAGTTTATTAAGACTTATGTATATATAGGTCATTAATATAAAGATTTGCTTGTTTAGTAACACCAATGCGAATTCCCACTTTCTGGCTTAAGTGATGAAATCTGCAATCCAATTTCTTAGGAGGATTGATACGGTGACCTTTCCCTCTAAGGTCATGTGAAGTTATTAACAAAATGCTGTGAAGTAACACCTCCACCATCCTGCGGAAATGCAGTAAAACCTACGCCCCACACATGCTAACACCCCATGCAGCCATGTCCCCACATTTGCCTTGGTTATTGCTGTTGCTTCTTCCAGAAACTCTTTCCCCCATGAGTGAGCACAGATGCCATACAAGATGTGACGAGCAGGCGGATTAACAAAGGTTAGTAAGGCTGTAGGATGCCACGTTTTGTTTAGCTTTACTAAAAAGAGCAGCCCTAGAAAAAAGTTAGAAGAGGAGAAGGTAGAAAAAGAAGCAGTCAAACAGGGATGATGTTAAAAATGAATCCCTATCAGCAGACCACATAGGGTTCTTATCAACCAAACTTTTCTCTAGAAGACAGGTGAGTTTTGAAACTAGTCCTTTCATGAGCATATACTGGATTTACTATTTTCCTGTCATGCTAAATTGATGTGCTACATTTGTACAACTAACATTTGTTATCCATAGAACAAGGAAGCATAAAAAAAGGATCCTCATAGTGGGTCTGCTTTTTTGTTTTCACACACTTAAACCAATAAACACTTCACCTCCAAAATTTTAAGAAGTTTCCAGAACATAAATTAAGCTAGGCAAATATACTTTCATTAAACATCATTTAAAATTCCCCAAGTAATATTTTAATAAATATGACCTAAAGATGTTTTCTATCTATGAAAACCCATGGCATTTCTAGCTATTTGAGGAGTATCACTTTAAGTGACAACTCTACCTATAAGCACATAAAACAGAAAGATTATATTCTGCTTAGGTAAAATAGATCCACTTTAAAATGCTGTCTCTAATTCTGTCTTCCCAGCTATGTTTGCACTTTACCTCATTTTCAAAAACTTTAGATGGGCAGTCAGGCTGCTGTTTACTTCTGTTTTAGGCCCAAGTAAAACAGCAGCCCAGGGGTGCCTGGGCGGCTTGGTCGGTTAAGCTTCTGCCTTTCGCTCAGGGTCCTGGGATTGAGGCCTGAGTCGGGCTCCCCACTCAGAGCACACAGTCTGCTTTTCCCTCTCCCTCTGCTGCTCTCTTGCTTTCTCTCAGATAAATAAATCTTAAAACAAAACAAAACCACAGCCTGACTGCCCAACTAACTAGTCTTCAAGGGCTACCTGGATAATAATCATTCGTTCTTAAATAACACAAGCACATCTTTATGACATGCAAGCAATGTTGGATCTACACAAAAACAATGTTAGATTTAGAATTCCCTATGGAATTAAGGAAGGCTTAAGGAAGAATTTCTATTCAGGAAATAAAAGTTCCTTGGAAAAGAAACTATTCACTTAGAAGAGTAGTTCAGGACAGTCTAGTTAAAAAAAAAAAAAATCTTAACACTCTCTTTTACTTGGCTGTGATTACCAAAATTATCTCTAGTAAACAGTATCTTGCTTTCTAGGCCAAAGATGCCTATGTACAGTTATTTCTAAAAAATAACTTTTAACAATAATGACAATAATTTGGTCCCTGAATTTGGAGGTGCTGATTTGTATTATTTCTGTTGGTCTATAAATGGGTACTAAACCCATTTATAGCCCTACCTATTTGAAAATTTAACAAAAAGCAGACGGAGTTAAATTTATAGACTCTATACTAATTTTTTTTCATTTTTAGTTTAAACCTCAGAATGTCTCATCTGAGTGATAAAAGAGGACATTAATAAACATTAGAGGGAAAAAATGTGTCTGACTCCTAAAAAAGGTCTTCCTGCCAGTATGTATAAACTAAATTTTATAGAACATAATATACTCTGACTGTTCCCATGTAACTGACAACTATCACTCTATCCCCCCACCCCCAGCTTCTTTTCTTTTCAAGATTGCTCAAGGATGAAATGAATACTACCTAATCTACGAAATAACAAATATTCTAATCACTGCTTTCATAATATCACGCTTGAGAGGCAGAGATTAGGTCTTTAAACTCTAAAATAAAACATAAATAAATAAGAATGTTTACATAAATCCAAAGGAACTCAAATTAAACTAAGTGGCCATAATTTTCATTCTTTTTAAAATACTATCACATTGGGGGCACCTGGGTGGCTCAGTCAGATAAGCATCCAACTCTTGATTTTGGCTTAGGTCGTGAGATCAAGCCCCACATTGGGCTCCGTGCTAGGAGTGGAGGATGCTTAAGATTCTCTCTCTCTCCTTCTGCCCCTCCCTAACCCCCCCATAAATAACATAAGATAAAATAAAATAAAATACTACCATATTGTCTTTGTAGAGTATGTTCTCCTTACAGCCCCCATATCACATACTGACCATGATACTAAAAATTCCGTAGGCAAAGTTTATGTGCCAAGATGTACACCCTATCTCATGTCAAAAAAGATTTAAAGATATTTAGATTCACTTATTACAGAGTTGGAAAAACTACTACTCAGGTCTGGCCAATTCGTGTCACTAAATGATGCTTCTGTTTTCATTAAATCCCAAAGCAAAGGCCTCCTGAAGAGACTGTGCAAGAAGCTTGTGCAGAAAGAAGAAAGAAGATACCTAAAAGACATAGGTGAAAAAGCAAGCACAGAAAGGACCAGGTGTGCAATAGAGCACTAACTAGAAGAGAAGGTTCAGCACTGCAACTATATGACGCATCTGGGGAACTATCATAATAGAAAACTCATAAGCCTGAATTCCATTTTTTAATGTTGTCATTATGCAAAAAATGATTACATATAATATTAAATACATATTTACTGAATAATTATTCCTTTATATCCTCTCAGTGTTTATTCATAGGGTGCATTCAAAATGTATCTGTTGGCTGACCAATACAGGGTCATAAAAATACATCTTCCATTCAGTATTGTTACTGCTAAATATTCTTCAGGCTAAGGCATTAGAAATCAATTCCTCTGGGGTGCCTGGGTGGCTCAGTTGGTTAAGCGACTGCCTTCGGCTCAGGTCATGATCCTGGAGTCCCGGGATCGAGTCCCGCATCGGGCTCCCCGCTCAGTGGGGAGTCTGCTTCTCCCTCTGACCCTCTTCCCTCTCGTGCTCTCTATCTCTCATTCTCTCTCTCTCTCTCAAATAAATAAATAAAATATTAAAAAAAAAAAAAAAGAAAATTCTAACTTGCTTTCAGATACACAGAACATATGACAACCAGAACCTGATCCCTTGCAGGCTAAGTATGTCCCCTGGAAACTAAGTATGTCTTAGAGACATTTACTTTCTCTTTATTTGATGGTCATCATCTTTATTTCAGAGCAAAGAATGATCATCAGCTCTTGGTTATGGAGAGCACCAGCCATCATCATTCTTTCTCACCTGGTTACTCAAAGGCTGGTCTTGGATGAGCAGTGCTGGCATCACCTGGGAGCTTGTTAGAAATGGAAGACTCTCAGGTCCCACCCCAGGCCTACTGAATCAGCATCTGCATTTTAACAGGACTCCCAGCTGGTGAAGAAGCACTGCTCTTACTGGACAGAAAGAATACTGAAGCAATTCAGAAGCCCCAAGATTAAGCCTCAGACCCATGACTTAACAGGTATTTAAGAGTGAGCAAGACAGCATTTTTTAGCCTTGGTTTCCTCAACTATAAATTGGAGGTAATATTACTCATTTTATTTACATACACACCTATCAAGGAGGGCTGGGAATTAAAAAAAAAAATGATGGCTGTTAAAGCTCCCTGTAAATTATAAAGCACTATACAAATACAAGGCACTACTGTTAATGATACATACAGCTTAATGATACCTGTCCTCATTTGATCTGTCACAGACCATCAGAGGCATGTTATTAGATTATACATTATTAAGATAAAAGGCTCCTCATGTATCACACTTTTCAAGCTCCTAATCACACTGTAGTCAAATCCTTCTGTTTTCATTAAAAACTAAATGTCAACTAGGCCTCATAAAGGGATTTGAACACTGCTATTGTCTTGCCCCAAATACTTGATTTATTCTTTCTTGGACTTCACTAGAGTTTCTAAGACAACAAACTAACTGTGGTTTAACCCACTGCCAGGCCTAAGAAATGAGTGGCCCTGGAAGAGGCTGCTTTTGGCATTTCTGGCCCATTTAGCACCAGCCTCTTCTCCAAAGCAGAGCATGACCAGAAGGCTGCAGTTTACACACACTATTTTAGATGCTATGTTTTATGCTAAGGGAAGAAACCAGTATCCCAGCTTTCTCCTTATCTTAAAAGAAGTCTATGGGTCTTAAAATATCCTAAATTGTATCCACAGTACCCAAAGGTTTATTATACCTTTTCCTTACATATCAAATGAATGCCAAGAAGAAGCTTTTTATGACCAGGGCTTTGTTAACCAAAGCTGGATGGCTTTAAAAATGAAAATCTAACTAATGGGTCAACTTATTTATTCATGAGATTCAGTTTCTATCAAACTTAGAGAATCAATTTACATCATAAAATGCTAAATCCATTAGAATTATAAGCTGCAGCCTCAAACCAACTTTTCAGCGGCTCACCCAAATCTTTCTCAAACCGGAGAAACCAGGCTTCCTTCTACTATCTGAGCTGCTGTGTAGCCCCTGCTTCCACTGTCATCCCACAGGCCACGGAGACCCTTATTGAGAATTCAGACTCCATGCAGGGGAACAGAAAAGGATTAACACATGCAACTGTGTAGCAACACTTTTAGACACAGTTTAACTAAAAAAAGAAAAAGAAAAAAAAAAAAAGTCTGCCCAGCACAAGAACAATCCCCAAGTCAGCCCAAGAGCAGAGAATTAGTACTATCAGGTGATCAGAAACAAAACCAAGGCAAACACTCACTAAATTCAATATTCAATATATTTATCATTAAAAGAATCACCACTGCAGCATACTCAAAAACCACCATCAAGAGGTAAAGCCTACCAGAAAAGCTCCCACTAGCTCCTCAAAAAGCACTTGGTTTTGCTAGAACTAAAGATTTAACTTTAAGACATAAAAGGCACAAAACTGTACCTTTATGGACACTTTTTCAAGCTAAGGCTACCAGGAGATGTAAGTTCATTCTCCATTAAGTAAATGAGAGAAGAGCATATGGTATCAGTGAGAGCTGGACAAGCAACTGGGCAAGTGCTCATCTGTGGAACAGGGAAGGTATGAGAGCAAGCTGCCCTTTTCCTAAGAGAGGATTCAGGATGGACTCCTACCAGTCTCTGCTGCTCCAAGAGAAGATCTGCTTCTTCCTTCTCCTTTTTGTATAGGATCTCCATCTCCTGTAGTCTAGAAGGAAAAGAAAAACAAGGGAGGAAAGAACAAACTGTGAAATCACTGGGCTGTTTCATGAGCGCTATATACTGCATGTTTAAAAGAAGTGATAGTCATGGGGGCCATATCATATTTGTGCATTACCTTTTCTCCATCTCCTGCTTCATATCAATCCCTTGTTTTTCCAGAAGTTCTCTCTGGGCAAATGTCCAGTCCACAGGCTCAGAGGGGGTCTCAGCAGAAGGAGTCTTCTCCCGCTCTGCCCGTGCTTGCTCCGGGTGGTTGAAACGAAACACATGGTTTTTACCCATGATGATACGGTTTCCTAGCACAAAACAGAAACAGAGTTAAGAAGCCATTTTTTAAAGGTATACCTATCTAAGTTAATAACCTCACTCTCCCTCCCTTTCCCTAAGGCAAAAAGACAGCTTTTGGAGTTTTACAAGAACAGAAATCCTAACGCTATCATACTTCAGTCTTTGTAAACAAAGAGTCAAAAATTAAAGAGTTGCTCACACAAACCACGTGTTCTTTACTGAAGACTTCAAACCTTTCCCAGTCTCAGGGGCGCCTGGGTGGTGGCTCAGTTGGTTAAGCGTCCAACTCTTGATTTTGGCCCAGGTCATGATCTCAGGATCCTGAGACTGAGCCCCAAGTGGGGCTCCCTGCTCAGCGGGGAGTCTGCTTCCTCCCTCTTCCTCTGCCCCTCCCCCCAACTTGCGTGCACTCTTCCTCAAATAAATGAAAAAAATCTTTAAAAAAAAGGAAAAAGCAAAGGACTTCAAAAAAACAAAACAACTTTCCCAGTCTCACCTGAGCGCAGCTGAACAGGCTGGGCCACCCTCTTGCCATTTACGTAGGTTTCTGAGCGTTCACAGGGCTCTAGGGTCACAATAACTAAGAAGAACAAACTAGTATTAGCATCACAAACCACTGGAATAAAACAATGGAAAGAAGATAACTGTGAAGACTCAGGATAACTAGAATACATTCCTGCAATCAGCCAAGCGGCAGAGCATCTATATATAATAGTTCATTTTAGGGTATCAAAACCAGGGGTGTGGCTAAGAGAAACATTTAAATGAATGGGACAAACCTCAGAAGAAGATGGGAAATGGTCGTTTTGGTGATATGTAACAGTTCAGTCCATAAAACTGAAAACCATCAGAAATCTTAAGTGTAAGATATAGGTACTAAACCAGAAACATAAGATCAAAAGCAGCTAAATATTTTGATTAAAGGAATGAGTCATTTAGCACAAAAATACCATTAGATTATTGTTCTGTTAGTAACCCAGACAAAAATCAAGACCGACTTTTTCTTCCCTTCTAGAAAAAATACGTTCTGGGTTAAGATTAGGGGTCCTTCAAATCTCCCACTACCCAGGATATTTGTTCTTTTCGTACTTGTCTATTAAATAATTAACATTCAAGACCAAGCCTAATTGCCTATGTCCTGCTCAGTTCTTGGCAGTTACAAAAGGGCTCCTTTTGTCCAGGCTATTTTCATGTAAAACAGCTATGTCCGTCCCTGCATTTGTAAGCAGGCCAGGTTTCTCCATTTTCCCAAATATTAGATTGTACAAGAAAGTATCACTGAGAGAGACAGGGAATAGCAAGCCCTGGGGATTTCTAGTAATACACAATGAAAAGGTTGTTGGAAAAGCTATGCCAGGAACTCTCACCGTCCCCACTGTTGTTTCTCTCGCTCCGGAAGATACAATGCTCTTCTTGAATGTGAGCCCCACTCAGCACGATGTCCTGGCGCCGTTCAGCATCTGCTTGGCCAACCCTGAACACAAGAGAAAGTGTTTCCCAGGGAAATTCAGACACAAAAAGCACTGAAAACAATGAACCTCTTTCTCCCAAAGAATATTCTTTGGTATGCACAAAAAAGGTATCGCTTCTTTTTATCAGAGGCTTTCAACTGCAAATTTTATTTTCACATATGACCAACCTCCCTACATTAGAATAAGAAACCAAGGAGCAAGGATACATCAATGTAACTCACTCAGCTTTATAAAAAGACACGAGTGAACTAATCTCCCTAATGAATTCATATAAGAAGTTAGAAAAAGAAAATTTTTACTTAGGGTTTTTAGGGAAAACTACATGTTAACTGGTTCGGATGGCTAAAGCACTTACATAATTTGGGAAGACAGGATAGTTTGTAACTATTTCAGACACAAAAAACAGCAAGTCATTACAACAATTTTTCAACAAATAACATCTCTTTAGTTATTCAATCATTTACAAGAACAGAAAACAGTAAATGACCAAAAGAAACAAATATACCTTGTAATTCCATCTTTGATGTAATAAAGCAGGCATTCAGACATTAGTGGGTCCTCATTGAGGTTAACAAGATGTGGGGTCTGAAAAAGGGTACAGATGATCAATTTAGAGCAAGTACCACTGGGTGGGCAGTGACAATAACAGTGACCTACAGGAGGCCAATGGCTTCC